TACATTGATCTTTTGTGTAAATCTTAATAATCAGATATTCCTTCAATTAAGCTATCTCGTTAATTAATTCATAAGTAGCAAAATACTTTATAAGCATTTTTGATTAGGACAAAAAAAAATAATTGTGTTTTTAATCTATTTAAAATAATGTGTAATGCTGATCCAAAATATTATACATCTAGAAACATGATATACATCAAAACATTTTGCTTGTAATTTTAATTAATGAAGCTTTCAACATCTATTGTATACGATTTCCTGCCACACTGATCAGGAGATACATTCCATCTGTCAATTGGGAGTGTTTGAAGAAGTCATTGTTAATTTAATTTTACATTATGCCAATAGGAAATTCGAGATAAGAGAAGCCAATCACTTCGATGATTCATTCACACTAAAAACATGTGATGCCGGATGCACCACTCACATGTAGAAGCAGACCTATACTATAAGCCAGCAATCCCCAACCTTTTAACGCCGCGGACCGGTAAACGTTTGATATTTTACCGCGGCCCACTGAGGGAGGACGTTGATTGTTTATATTTTAGATTGATTTAATTTAATAATTTTAACTTAATTGTATTTAAACATGCCTTCAAAATAAAATATAGTTACACCAAAAAATGAATATAATGTAATTTAACATTTTAACTCACTACCGTGTTTCCCCGAAAATAAGACATCCGCAGAAAATAAGACCTAGCACAGTTTTTGCTGAATTGCGAAATACCTTGTATAAGACCTCCCCCTGAAAGTAAGACCTAGCGAAGTTTTTTTTTTTTTAGTGGTAACGGTCATGGACAGATGGTTGAAAGTGGCCGTTGGCTTTTTGAAAGTACAGCCACTGATTGGTCAGCAGACAATTACGCCACACGGCATGATTTGCATAAGACTATGGCTTGGGAATCACAGATTTGCATAACGTTACGGCTGGTGATGGCTAATTGATCGGCCGGAAATCACGCCACATGACATTTGCATAGTGCTACGGTTCAGTAAGCACTAATTGGTCATCGAGTCC